ACACACACACACACACACACACACACACACACACACACACACACACACAGCATTACTGTGGGGATCTGTTTTATGATGACTAGTAAGATTGTGCACCTGGGGTACAGGAGAAGCCCTGTGCTCTGGTTCTTTTCCTCCAGCCACACAGGACTGCCAGCTATTGATCTTTGAAGCCACAATTTTTCTGTTCCAAACCACCTGATTCAAAGACCTGGTTACAGTTGTGGGAAGAAGGTTCAGGATATGGGGCTTCTCCTGGGATAAAGAAAACCTTTTCAACTTTGCATTTGTATGCATGCTGAAGTCTGTGGAACCATGCTCTGTGAATGAGTTAAATGATGTAAGACTTAGAGCTTCAGTAAATGGACGTCTGAGACTAAATAAGGTACCTGTCACTTAGTAGGTGGCGCTTATTCTGTTCTCTTCTAATCATGCCTTAATTTGTCTTAGGATGCTAATTAAAATACCTCCTCACAATTAGGACTACATTAAATTTGTATGTGTTAATTGGTTTTTCTGTGTAGCCCTACCTGTCCTGGACTCGCTTTGTAGACCGGACTGGCCTCAACCTCACAGAGATCCGCCTGTTTCTGCCTCTGCTGGGATTGCAGGCGTGTGCCATCACATCCAGCTTCAGTCTACTTTAACAAGAACACTCATTATGCACTTGATGTTTACTGAGCAGCTCAGGACTGAAGAATTTCAGCTGTGTTTTTCTGAACTGTTTTAAGGAGAACCTTAAGTTACCCAGTAAACCTTGTTGTTAACAAAGGCAGAGTTTTTGAAAGCTACTTGTCAATCTGGATGAATATTGAGTGAGGGTGCAAGAGTATTAGAATCATGGCTTCAAGGTATTTATTTGAACACCCTTGAAGACAGTCCATTAAATGGCATGTTTTCCTGTCTTTGATACTGCATATTTATTTGATGACAGAATTGGGAAGTTATGTTGCCTAGTCAGATCCAGCAGCTCTTACTGGACGTCTTGTGTTTACCAGGCGAGCTGCCTGGGCCAGTTTCTGCCTCCTGCTTCTGTTCCAGCTTTTCCAGTTTATGCAGGCAAGTTTCTGGGTGAAACCAAAGTGTTTTAATGTCCGGTGGGGCCAGAAATTGGTCTCTTGTCATTGTTCTGGTCCTCAGTAGTTTGGTATGGTCCATCTGCCTTTGATGCTGACACTACTACTCTTAGGCTTGGTGACTGCCCTAGTCCAGCTCAGCCCCCAAAGAAGAATCAGTGATTGAGGTAGGGGTATGTGTGTGTGTTTATTTATTCTTCTGCATTTTGAAACCCATTTTTTTTCTAGGTTTGTATTTTTATTTTGAAAATGGTAATTTTCCTTTATCTTGTACTATAATGGGCCACATATCAGGGTCTTTCTCCTAGTATGATGTGATTATTTATTCAAGTTCAATGGGGAGCCAGAATTCTTAACATTTACTTGAGATCTGGATATCCTTTCAGAACACATTTATCTTTTTTTTTTTTAAAGATTTATTTATTATGCATATAATGTTCTTTTTCCATGTATACCTGCACAC